AAACAAATATACATGCATGTCACTATATTAAACACACTCAGAAAAAAACACACACAAACACGTACGAAATTAAAAGTATGAAATTATAATCATCATTTGTCAAATGCTGTGTCCAAAATAACAAATTACAACATAATACCACAGTAAAAAATCCATACAACAGCCCATGCGATCGCCCATTGAATTTAACGGAAGTAGTGTCAAATATGCAAGGGTTGTCAAAAAATGCCAAATTTACATGGCGAACAGTTTCGAGTTATAGTTTTACCGGTCACCCCTAAAGCCATTTCCCGACTAACATATAAAAGTACGTATGGCAGTCGGGAGTGCCTCATCCATATCTCACACCGCACTCTTCGCGCCATTGCTCTGTTTAGAGGTCTTCGTTACAGGACTGTATGGATGAGTAGACTTTGATATTACTATAATATTTAAGCAGTACATTTACATATTCTTTATTGATATAAAAAGTTTCTACTTAAATATAATTTATAATTTTAAGTAAATTTCTTGCGATTAACAGACATTTTTAACTTCAAAATCTAATACATCATTCCATCATACGTTATTAATATCCAAACGCTATCAATTATTGTAGACATGACTTTTCAAAATATTTAAAGACTTAATATAATTTGCAAGGTAATTATGAAAACCTACAAAGTATTTAATGGTTGTGCCAACCATTGAGTTTCATGAGACGATTTTCAACGGTGACTGCAACACAGCGACATCCTGTAGTCTTTCTCGCAGTGCATTCCCACCATGTTTTCATACGTCTAGACAATTTCTTTATAAATCGATAACTACCCCAAGCTATTGTGGGGTTTCCAAATTTAGTCATTTCGAATTTTAGTCCTGTGTTATCTGTATTTTGTAGAGACAAAAGAAAAACAATTGGTTAGAACAAAAACTTATTATTAAATTTCTATATATTAGATACTATTAAATATTCTACAATAAAACTACTAGTACGAGTACATAGTAAAACTAGAATTGGGAATAGAAAATAAATACTCTACAAACATACAATACATTTTATTAAAATAAAATGTTACAATAGCAGTGTTTCTTTTTCACGGCAACGTCAATATTTGTGTGAGATTCTTCTTTTTTTTAAACTTTTAACTCTTTTTAGTTCTGAATTATGTATATAAGAAATATGGTATTAAATATAAATTTATAAATTACGATACATGACAATGTGCGAACATTAAACGACGACACGTTTGGCCCAGTTTGTAGTGACCCTACTTGCTGTGCCAGTTGTCGCGGGTTGGAGTCCCGCTAAAGGCTTTCATTTGCGTGATGAGCACGAATGTTTATACTCCAGTCATGGGTGTTAATATGTATGTATTTAAAGTTATATATATGTAGTGCATCAGCTATCTGGTATCCATCACACAAGCCTCATAGCGTAATATAGAAATAGATGGTGTTGTGTTAATGTCTCAATAAAATATACATATAATAATTTACAACGTCTGTATTTTACAATTACAAATATTTTTAGACGTAATTAGTACCTAAAAATGGTTTTTTGTTACATGGTTATGGTTATTTTGTATCTTTACGAGTTGTTTTTCAATAGTCATCGCCTTCGCCCGACAGCCTCGTGGCTGATGGGTGCACCTCCACGTTAACTTAAATGATTCTTGCACCGATTGTGTAGGATTTAAACAAAATCTGTGCGAACCGATGCGAAGCAACGGTTTTCCAAACTTCGAATTTTCGAACCAGTGTCCATCTAAAAATGAAATGATATTTGAGACCCCGTTTGTATCATAAATAATAAAATATAATATGAAACAAACAACTTTCAAAACCTCATAAATGATCTGATTGCATCGAAGTATTTTCTTTTGAGACTCCTTTAAAATTTAGTTTTTTCACCATTTCTATTGGTAAGTGTATGCTAAAATTTAATATAAGTGCTAACTGAATGGATGTGATCTAATAATATACATAATATTGCGTAGCTCTATTTTTATATATGTTACAGTCAAAACTACTTTTAACTAAGGAGGTTTGTCAAAAGTAGTTTTGACTGCAAGCATTTTTTTTTCTAAATGTTCTTTCTAGTCGTTTACGGCGTTGTGGTCAATGTTCTAATCAATGTTCTAACCTAACCTAGAAAGAAAGAAAGAGTTCTTCCGAGTAACCTTCAAACGAAAGTTAAAACTTCAAAGTTTTTACCGATATCACTAGTGCCGGATTCAGTCTTAGCACCGCCCCTGGGCACAGTAAAAAACTGCTATTGACCAAGGCCTGCAGTCAAAAGTAGTTTTGACTAAAAATAGTTTTGACTGTAACATATATACTAAGTGTCCCAAAAAACCATAATTGTCGACAACAATTCATAATTATTGGAGTAATGACACCAAAATAAACGTTGCTACCATAATTTAGAAATAAGTAGGATGATTTTGTATTAAAAGTAAGTATTAGGACCTAATAAGTAGGTACACACTAAGTATTTTTCAAGAAAATATATTATAGACCATACAGTAGTAATTTCGATATCTACACAATCGATAGTATATAATAAATGCAATATACTTGGACCATATGTAAGTGAGTAAAAGAAATATATAAAATTTTCTTCACATTTTTTCTAATATTATACATACTTTATTTCACTACATACATAAACACACACATTACTTTATTTGTTTGTTAATGTCCCAACATAATATGTACATATTTATTTATTTATACTGTAAAGCTCATGGTTAAAATTAAATAAATTAAGTGCAATATAAAATAATATAATGAAATTAAATAAAAAAAATAAATTAAGTTTTTAAGGTCATGTAATACTAGTCTGGTATCCCTTCCTTTTATTTCATTTCATCTTTATAATGAGATTTTTTTTATTAAATCTTGCGATCAGTCTTTCAGACTATGAGCAGATGAGATGGTTCGGATGGCATGTTGGGCGCTACTCCTAGTGGAGTCTGCCTTATCTTTACAAAGTCATTCTTCAGTCTGACTGTTCTAGTCGAAAATAATGAGTAAATAGAAACACATATCTACTTAATTTACAGTTACATAACATATTTCTATACTCTCAAAACAAACACATACTACGAGTATATCTCTTTTTCACTTTTCATATATTCGAATCTCTCTTATCCGTGTACTACATACACTACCTACTCCTACATACATTGGTACACGCACACACACTAATACATTCAAAGTTAATTTTATCTATACATATAATAAAACTGTAGAGGTAGAATGTCTGTACATAGAAAAAAAATACTAAAAACCGAGACAGGGGGATGTAAGAAGAGAAATAGAACAAATCCAGATTTTTTTAATTTTTTGTTTCTCTGTCTGTTCGTCTGTTTATCTGTTTGTCAGTTTGTACGGGCTAATCTCCAAAACTGTTGGACCGATTTAAATGCAATATTGCAGTTAAAAAACTATAGTAACTTATACAGCTTAGTACACAAACACTACTGATTGGATTTTAATGAAACTTCACAATAATATAGTTCATACATCAGAATAACAAATAGGCTACTTTTTATTCCGGTGAAATGTACGATTCCCGTGGGGTAGATTTGTTTTTGTTTTAAAAAATATTTATATTGAATCAAAACAAAAATTAATATGATCGATTCAATCATCAATTACTCTGTAATGTTTCAAAAAACTGCAACATGATTATGGTTATGGTTATGATTATTCTTAAACGAAACAATTTGGCCATCAATGGTGTTCACACGCGCTATACAACCAGGCTTGTTACATTTCCAGGATATCCTACTTCCATTCTGGTAATTCTTCGAAAAGTGATTCCCCTCGTACAACATCCGCATAGTTCCTTTAGATGACAGATAAATATCGGCACCTGTTTATATAACCGGATTAATATTTAAGTGTGGTATTTATATTGCAAAATAAAGTGGGAGTAGTAAAATTTTTTTTATTGATATTGATTATATCTTTAATCAAAAGTGTTAAACATTACTGACATCTGTCATCGAAACTATAACTGAATTGAGAAAAACGGAAGAAAATCTTATAGAATATAAGGCACTGCAATTTTGAATAGATAATTTATAAAACTTTAACAGTAAAAAATATACATAAGTTCTTCACGATATTATACATGTTAATAAAATTTCATACTCATACGTGTTAATAAAATAAATATACAAAACTCATACGTGTTATTATAATTTCCAATTGAAATCGAATTCCATACAGTATTTCTATTATGGAACAATCCGCAACATATTCTATCATACATAAGAAATCTAGGGACAATGCTTACAATTAATGTTTGTGTTCATTTCTCGTCCCTAATAACTCATTACTTGAAGTAGTGGCGGTCGCAGGGCAGCCTCTCTTACAGCAGCGCCAGGAAACCCGAAGTCCAGATTGATATTCTTGTCTGAACTTTTGTAATCCTACAAATAAGCATGGGTTCCCTCTCGCGTTTAACCCAAATCGAATATCTAAGACAAAATTAATTTACATATAAACCTAATGCAAAAAGCGTATTGTGTACAGAAGGAAAAAATGTAATAAATAGTATATAAATTAAACAATCTTTTTACTTTAAGCAAAATTTATTTAATATAAGCAATCTATAATAAAATAATAAAATAATTATATATACAAACGATAGTCAAAAATAACATTTGTAAGTAGAAGATCATTCTAACGAATTAATATGTATATAAGGCTCTTAATTTACGTACTAAAAATATCACCAAATTACGTATCGTGTTGAGATATCGTCGAAGCTAAGCCTAGGAGTCTAAATAGCACAGCATTTGGAAATATACATAAACTTTTAGAGATCATCAAATAAGTTAACAATACATTCGTAGTTCTCGTTGTTTGTAAACAATTAACAGTCATGCTGTGATGTGAACATTTGCTTCAATTTATGTAACAGATAGCATTTTTCACAGCTCAAAACTTATCATAAATTCTGTTAAAATCATTTCGTTTAAGCTACCTATATTCTCGTAATACTAATGATCCTTTTTTTCTTCTGCAAGTCGGGGCCATAAGTCAGTTTTAGGCAAGATTCTAGGAAAGTTCAGAGCATGGAGAGCTAAAGATGCTGCACGCGGTGATGTGATAGGAGAAGGAAGTATAGCTGTAGAAACAGGAGGAACTGTCTGAGATCGCGGTCGAAGCTGAACGAAGGCACCATTGCCACACCGAGCGTGAGAAGGTGGTGCGTGATTATGTGCGTCCCCTGAGGCCACCAGCTTCCCCGCCATCAGCCTGACCCTTGCCCTGCACCCCATGTGCTTTGAGGAACAATAGAAGAATCTTCCCCCAACTTGAGAATACGTAAAACCTTTTAGAACCAAAATGTATTTGCCTTTTTCCGTTGGAATGAACTGCACGTCTGAAATACCCAACAGCTTTAGTATTATATTCAAAACTAATACTCGCAGCTTTAATTACAAATAATAAAATATTTATATTAATTACTCAATCGCAAAAATAACTGGAAATAATAGCAAAATACATTTAAATTAAAAGTCGTATATTTTGTATACAAAATGATAAAGCAAAAGTTATAACGCCTAAGAAAGAATAGCTCGCATTAAATATTATTAAATGTAATGCAATGCTAAATATTCTAATAACTAATTAACTAATAAAATACATTTAAAAAGGACTCTAAAATTTAGTGCTTTTTGAGAATGCTACACGTGTGCATGTATGTACATACAAATATACAGGGTGGAACAAATCGATGGGACATGGAAGAAAAGTACCATAAATATTGAAGTTATCAAGATTTACTCAAAAGAAACATTTCTTTATTTTTAAAAATAATAATAACTGGATTTATTTTTTTTGAAAAAAAACCTTACCTGAACCGGGAATCGAACCAAATAAAAATGCAAAAAATAACACCGTCACTATTTTATCGTATGAATCGATAGGGTGGGTCTATAGGAAGGATAAAATCTCTCTAAATCACCCTGTATATAAAATGCTAATACATTGGCAGCTCTTAATACTTAACCTATAAAAGAAAATTATACTTTAATGTAGGTGCCATTCTTCAAAAAATATTTTGGAGGTTGGTGGTTGTGTTGCGTATTGACCTTGATGACATTGCCGTCAGGCATGCGGCGGACTCGCGCGGTGCATCCTTGCGCTTTAGATGAACAAAACCAATGGACACTATAGTTAATTTGCGAATACGTATACCCATTTAGCATTAGCAGATATTTCTTTCCACTCCTTGTCGGTATTAACACGGCTTCGTTCTCTAAAACAATTAATTGGTTTACTATTTAATATAACTTAAATCATACAAATGTCTAAATCATCATTAATAATTCCTCGATGCTTACGTCCATAATAATTAATAATCATTTTCTATTGCTATTTTTATGCTATTTATACCTAATACTTTCTTAGATTTACGCGAATATTAGACATTTTAAATAAAACATCTTTTCGGATTATGTCAAGATTTTATTTTATACTTATGTTACCATCTTTTCGAATGCTTTACAGCAAATATGACCATTTTTGTTTGTTGTCTTTTCAAAATACAAAACAGACCCGAAAAAATAGCCCTACTAATATTTACTAAATCGAGTAAAATAATTACCTTTTACTGAAAGAAAGTACTGGCTTTAGTAATTTTAACATCCTAGAGGTGGAACCCTTGAAGTATAAACTATTACGAATGGCGAACATACCATATCACATACACAAACAAACAAAAACGAATTAAGTAACTTCTCCTTTTCAAAGTAGGAAAAAGTCGTATTGTAGATAAGAGAAACAATAAGATCGTAGTACTGACACTTTATTATTTTTATCCAATAAAAACAAATAAAAACATTTTCGCACACCATAGGTATACCATTAATACTGTTCTTTATTTGATTGATATTTTAACATAATACATCTCTTCTATCTCACTATCTTCTATATCACAATAAAATTCTAACCGAGTCGAATCTGTACATAAAATATTTTTTGAAATATCTTATTGAAATAGTCATTATTATCGATACAGCGGCCGAATGTGCAGTCTTTAAAATTTTTCTGTCTTTAATAATATTAAAAACCTAGAGGTACTATAGCCTCACATATATGCCCTCGCGACAATAATATTTAGGAGGTTCGTGCGTGTGTTCCGTTTGTACATATTCTATGGATCCATCTACATCTCGCTTGATGCGCGCTGTGCAGTTCTTAGCTTTAGTCGACGAACAAAGCCAGTACTTGCTATAGTTTACTTGAGAATAAGTATACCCGTCTAACATTAATAAACACTTCTTGCCACTTCTTGTTGGTATCATTACAACGTTATCTGCAATCATTAACTGTTATATCATATTCGATATAAGATATAATAATTAGCGGTAATAAACTGGTAAAATTTCGTTAAAAAAATAAGACATGATATATTTACCATAATTTTACTAAAAAAACATACAAAAGCATATATGGCTATAATTGCTTATTATAGATACCTATAAATTGTAGGATTGCGATTACATCAAACAATACTTATTAAAGTTAAATAGTTACTAAAATGCTTATAGCATCAGGAACATAATTTAACCATTCAAAGACTAGTACATTTTGAACACAATTATAAGACCCTTTTTACCTATTATTTTAACCTATTGTTTATATCTGAATTATTTTAACAAAAACTATATTTTAAATACATAAAAAGAAAAACGCATTATTCTAAGCTAAAATTAATTATTATAAGCTAAGTCAAAATTTAACTAATATTTTTTTATTGTCAATATATACCGTCTAATATAATATAATGGAAGCACAAATATAAAGGCACAACTCGTATCATGCCTATTCTCGAAGCTCTATTCTAATTAATAAAAATATATAAAATCTTAAAAACTAACGTCCTAATGACTCATCGTTGTAATCTATACTAATATTATAAAGAGGCAGAGTTTGTTTGAACGAGCTAATCTCAGGAATTACTAATCCGATATGAAAAATTCTATTTGCATTAGATAGCCTATTTATCGAGGAAAGCTTTAGGCTATATATTATATAATATATAGTCTAAGGTCCCGAGTGAAGCGAGGATGAGTCGCAAGTTAGCTGAATAAAAATGTAGAAAAGTACATGAAATTAATAAAAAAATATTATAATTAGAAAATTGACAAAAACCATACATATCTTTAAATTATGCATAGTATTTAAAATCACGCTTTATGAATACAATATAGCACTCGCTATGAATGTAGCAACATTATTTCGTTTATTACGTACCTATATATTATAGTATATAAATTGTTGTTATACATTAAATCACTTTAAATTTATTTATATAGCTTATCTAAACATCGATAATACTCAAAATGGCATTTTGTATGGCGTAAAAATACTGGCAAGTGAACTATTACTGAATTATTATCACTCTTACTTAAATTTGTATAATATATAATAGATATATAATATAAAAGTAATAAAGTTTACATAAATGCCTAGGAACTGAATTTCCATTAAAGCGTTAAACTTATTCTATGTTTATATTAATATAAAATACTTAAATAAAAATTAAGTAACAACCATCAAAAAGTATAAAAATAATTATGTTAACGAAACATCATCTTAACCGACACAGAAGATAGAATCCGTCGAATATATTTAGTTGTTTTATAGTTAAGTACCATTTCAGGTTTAGATATTGAGTAATAAGCTAAAAAATATATACATATAAGTATACTATATTATATATATATATAATATGTGAAAAGTGACTCTACACATTTTTTCTGTCAAATCCTCAAAAGGCATATCTTACTTTTGTAACCACTTATATAAGGCAATATAGTATGAGCTACCACTTTCATTAATGTAATCATTAATTAAATTTGAATTACATAAAGCCTCCGGTTAGCTTGTTTGTAAATGAACAAAGCCAATATAATACTGGCATAAATGCAACAGATTAAATTGGAGAGGTCACTGACACTTTTAAACTAAGCAAAAATATTTTTGCTACTTCTCGTAACCTTTTTTTTTTAATTAAAAATAGGCTCACTCTTAACCTTCATCTTAGCTTGAAGGCATAGATAAGGTCTATGATGTAGCGAGTTTGTCCAGAAGAAGCCTGTTGACACACACCTTAAAAAGTTTCAGGTTGTACGCTCTCGGAAAAACAGACGCAGGCAAGGCATTCCATTTCTTGGCTGTGCGCATTATAAAAGATGATGAATAGCGCTTAGTGCGAGTGGTCGGAATGTCAACCAGGAAAGGATGGTAACCTGCAGTACGTCTGGTGTTCCGATAGAAGAATGGCGATGGCGGTATGAGACTGTGGAGCTCGTGGGCACACTCCCCGAAGTACAGTCTGTAGAAAACCGACAGACAAGCAACTTGACGACGGTGTGCTAAGCTGTGAAGCTTAGTTTTCACAAGCTTTTCGTCGCCGATTAGCTTTTTAGCTCTGCGTCACACCGAGTCAAGAGCGGCAAGTTGGTATTTTGCAGAGCCATCCCAAAGGTGACTGCAATACTCCATGCATGATCGGACTTGAGCTTTGTATAAAGTGGGAAGCTGTCCAGGCGTGAAGTATCGCTTAACCTTGTTTAGGATACCCAGTTTTTTGGCCGCAGTCTGTGCCTTCGACTCAATGTCATCGCCGAAGTTAAGGTTTGACTTCAACCTTATACCGAGAAGCTCTAGACTGTCGGATACTTCTACATGTGCACCACGGAAAGTAGGAGTCAGGCTGAATGGACTCCGTTTTGCAGAGAAAAAACAGGCCTGCGTTTTGGCGGCATTGAAATCAACCAGATTGTCGTCACCCCATTGTGACACAAGACTTAAGGTTGCATTTGTACGCTCTACCATGGCCTCTCTCAAAGTGCATATTGTTACCCCTCCGTCCCTTGCACCGGACACATAGCTCTCTATGACTGTGCTGTCATCTGCATACGCAACAATACCTGGCGAAAGCAGGTCATTTATGTGCAGCAGGAAGAGAGTCGCAGAGAGAACAGACCCCTGTGGAACTCCGGCTTCAATAGTCATTGAATCAGAAGAGCAACCGTCAACGACTACTCTGATCGACCGTTCGTTTAAGAAAGTCGGATACCCAGTCACAGAAGTCGGAGGGGATGCCGTTAGCAGGAAGCTTGCTCAGTAGACTTGCGTGCCAAACCCTATCAAATGCCTTCGAGATATCGAGTGAGACTGCTAGACTCTTGCTTTTAGCACAGATTTTTCCTTCATTACTTCATAGTATTGCCAAAAGTGCTATGACTAGTCTTTAAGCGTTAAAAGCACTGTAAGTGCTTTTATTCTTATCTTATCTAATAAGGTACATTATATTGTGTATTATGTTGCATATGTATCTTAGTTTAACGAGGTAAAGCGTCCTAAATTAAAAATGTCTTTTTTTGTTGCTTGGTAATCTCGTTTGATTCGGACTAATCGTTTGAACACTGGTGTAAAGCTAACTCCAAGTCATGAAAGGAAAATTGACGAACTCCCAAACTTATACCCTCAATACGTTGCCATTTAAGTACATCTGTAAATAATATATAATATAAAATAAGGCAAGAATATGTTATTTATAATAATTATAATGAAAAAATAACAAATTAGGTTCAAAATAAAAAAGATTTTTCTCATTTAGTGCTTTAATAACAAATATACATATAATCAAAAAACATTTTATAACAATGGTTTATAAAATAATCATTCTCATTCTAAGTATATTTCAAAATTGGTCGTTTTTTATACGAAAATGGCATTGATCAAAAAAATAATAGATACACAATCAGCGACAAAAAATGTCCTCACCGAATGAGAGTTCATTTGAAAATTTGAGCGCGCTTTTAATAAAAAAAATGTTGTGGTAACAACATTAAGCATTGCATTTAAGGTTCAATTTGCATTGTTGTATATTTATTTCAATTATAATAAAATTATAAATATATAAATTAGAATTACCTAAACACAATTGGTGATAGTTTGAAGAGAACTTTTACATGGGATTGTGTGTCTAGTACTTTTTTGATCGATGGAAAATGGTGTATAAATACAAAATATACAAAAAAGTTAACCTCGAACAGAGGTTAAAATACATTAATAAAGACTACCATTTTCTAAAGCTTTTACAAACATTTTTTACATACAATATAAAGCACCATTAAAAATTATATTAGCACTTGAATATCACATACCTAAGTAACATTTTAAAAATCGAATACATTTAAATATCTAATTAAAATCAGTTACTTTTAAATAATATTGGTCCCTTGTAAAGCTCGTATATATTTTTTCGCTCTTACATATAGTAAACTGATGGGCATTACACATTTTAAATTATATTGCAGAGTAAATACAAACTAACTTAAAATATATTTTATACTAGCGGACCCGACAGACGTTGTCCTGTCTACACGTCTTTAATTTGAAAATTTCAAACTTTTTTTAATAATTTTTTTGATGAAAATTATTATTCAAATTGTGAATCTAAACCATTCCCAGATCCCCTTGAACACACACAAAAAATTTCATCAAAATCGGTCCAGTCGTTTGAGAGAAGTTCAGTGACATACACACTCACAGAAGAATTATATATATAAAGATTTAAATCTTAAATTAGTTTCTACGAACACATTGTCTACAAAATGCTTATATTTATCATAGAATTTCAGTATTTACTTAGCTTTTATTGAGAGAAGCTTATATTTCATTAAAATTTAATAATTTCCTTCAAAGTTCACTTTATCTCTTAAAATTATATATACCTACGTGTTCATTTGCTATCTCGTTATGTAAATAAATTTCAGAATTAATAAAATCATAAGAATAATGGTACCCTTTGTGACCGTTTAATGCCTCCACGACCGCGGACACGCCGGCGATTTCTTAGAATTTTAAATTATTTCTTAGAAATTTACCTGGAGGTGTCAAAATTTTAACAATACCAATATACATATAATACATATCTCATATAAAAGATATTCATACAATTATGCATATACAACATATCGTCGTCTCGGTGCTTATTTGTCCAAACGATTATTTTACCGAAGAAGTTTAATATAGATTCCCCATACAAACTTTCATCCCTATTTTCACCCCCTTAAAAGACGATTTCCGGAATAAAAATCCTATGACCTTCCCAGGGTGAGAACTATCGTCTTACCAAGTTTTATCTAAATCAGTTCAGTAGATCCAGAGATAACCCCCTACAACGTCACAAACTCACAAACTTTACCTCTTTATAATATTAGTATAGATTATTGACTTTTAAATATAATAATCATATTGGTATAAAATAAAGTAGCCAAAAAGATATATTGTATCCATATATGTAAAT